CCCTAAAGAATCTGTTTCTTCTTTAATCTTAATCCCTAAAGAATCTGCTTCTTCTTTAATCTTAATCTGTAACAAATCTGTTCCTTCTTTAATCTTAATGCGTAAAGAATTTGTTTCTTCTTTAATCTTAATTTATAACAAATCTGTTTCTTCTTTATTCTTAATCTGTAACAAATCTGTTTCTTCTTTGTTGTTAATCCCTAAAGAATCTGTTTCTTCTTTAATCTTAATCTGTAAAAAAATATGTTTCTTCTTTAATCTTAATCTGTAACAAATCAGTTTCTTCTTTAATCTTAATCTGTAACAAATTCATCCATCCATCCATTATCTTTTACCTGCTTCTTCCATTTTCGGGTCACGGGGGTCGCCGATGCCCATGTCCAGCAATCACTGTGTGAGGGGCAGGGTGCACCCTGGACAGGTCTCCAGTCCATCACAGGGACACATAGAGACAAACGAGACAAATAAACATTCGCTCTCTCACTCACACCCAAGGACAATCCAGAGCCACCATTCAGCCTAACAGACACGTTTTTGGTCTGTGGGAGGAAACCGGTGTACCCAGAGAAAACCCACGCATGCACGGAGAGAACATGCAAACTCCACCCAGAAAGACCTGTAACAAATCTGTTTCTTTTATAATCTTAATCCCTAAATAATATGTTTCTTCTTTAATCTTAATTCTTGAAATTGGTTTCAAGGTTCAGTGCTTGGACCAATACTCTTTACCTTGTACATGCTTCCATTAGGTAATGTTATTAAACAGCATGGGATAAATTTTCATTGTTATGCTGATGATACACAGTTATATTTGTCCATGAAACCCAATGAATCCAATCAGCTACTTAGACTACAAGCATGTCTTAAAGACAATAAAACCCTGGATGACCCTAAATTTTCTGTTTTTGAACACAGACAAGACTGAGGTTTAAGTTTTTGGACCTGAGCATCTCAGGAATTAATTTTTCAGTGTTTCACCTCACCTTGCAAGGGAGGCCTCCTTGGATGGCATTAATCTGGCCTCCAGCTCTAATGTTAAAAATCTTTGTGTTATTTTTGATCAGGACATGTCTTTTATCCCCCACATTAAAAACGTTACTAGAACCGCCTTCTTCCACCTGCATAATATCACTAAAATTAGAAACATCTTATCTCAAAATGATGCAGAAAAATTGATTCATGCATTTGACACGTCTAGACTGGACTATTGCAATGGTTTGTTATCTGTGTGTCCAAATACTTCTTTAAAAAGTCGTCAGTTGATCCAAAATGCTGCTGCCAGAGTCTTAACTGGAGTTAGTAGGGGCGATCATATCTCTCCAGTTTTAGCTTCTCTCCACTGGCTCCCTGTCAAGTACAGAATAGAATTCAAAATCTTACTTCTAATCTACAAAGCTCTCAACAACCTAGCTCCATCTTACTTTGTATATTACAAACTTTATTGGTCCATATTTTCCTAACAGAGCACTTCGCTCTCAGACTGCAGGCTTAGTCGTGGTCGAAACAGATGGCCACTTGTCCTGAGCCTGGTTCTGCTAAAGGTTTTTTCCTTATGAGGGAGTTTTTCCTTTCCACTGTCGCCTTCATGCTTGCTCAAGATGTGAGTTCTGTGATGGAGTTAAATTCAAAGCAGTCTGCTCCTCAGATAAATAATGTTAAATTATTATTTTATATATGAATGTTTCTGTTCAGTGCCCTGAGATGACTTCTGTTGTGACTTGGTGCTATATAGATAAACTGAATTGAATTGAATTATTTGATCATAATCCCTAAAGAATCAGTTTCTTCTTTAAACTTAATCCCTAAGAAATCCTTTTTTTTCCCCCCCAATCTTAATTCTTAATCAATCTTCTTCCTTTCCACAGTTTGGAGGAGGAGAGCAATCAGCGCGGAGTTGCGGTGAAGCGAGTTCGGGAGTTGGAGATGATACTCTCGGAGCTTCAAGAAGACCTGGAGGCAGAGAAGATGGCGAGGGCGAAGGCTGAGGTGGCTCAACGGGACCTGGGGGAGGAGCTAAACGCTCTGCGCTCCGAGCTGGAGGACAGTCTGGATACCACCGCAGCCCAGCAGGAGTTACGGTCAGTGAAGGCCAACAGAAACCATGAAAATGTCCTCTGATGAGCTACAAGTTTCTGTAAACGTCCTTGTTTAGAGCAGCTGTTTCTACAACTGTCGATAAAGTCCTAGACTATTTAGGCTGAGAGCAAAAATCTTGAACAAAAACTGTTTTATTTATATTTATTATTATAATGATTATTAATATTATTACAAAAAAAACAACGTGTGTCCAAAACATAGTTTGAGTTTGAGTTTAACTTGATTGAACATAGTATAATAAAATAATAAACAAAGTTAACAACAAATCCAACATTTTTCAGTCAGGTCATCTGGATAGTTTCTTTTTTTTGCCGAAACGTTTCGCCTTCGATCCGGAAGGCTTCATCAGTCCAGGAAACACACAGCAAAACTGATTATTCCCCCAACAGCTTACTCCAAAGTGTAACAAACCAGTTATGTTGGTGCTAAGATGGTCTCTTTGTCACGCCCCCTCCTCCGTTGCCGGCCCTCTTCCTTGTTGACAGTCGTGTCAAACTTGTTAAAAACAACAAAGGCAAATAGTTTCAGCACAAAAAAAAGAAACTGTCCAGATGACCTGACTGAAAAATGTTGAATAAACAAAGTTATATAAAAACAAAGTTGTATGAAAAGTTCTTCAGAAACCCGACATAGATAGCAGTGTCATCTGCGTAAACGATGATGTGGGGGGCTGTGTGTGCTGATTGTGATGTTGATAAGTGAGTTGTGTTTTCTTGTTTCAGGGCGAAGCGTGAGCAGGAAGTGTCCATGCTGAAGAAAGCCATGGAGGACGAGAGCCGGAACCACGAGGCCCAAATCCAGGACCTCAGACAGAAACACAGCCAGGCGGTGGAGGAGCTCACCGAGCAGCTGGATCAAGCCAAGAGGGTCCATTTACTAAAAAATACTTGTCTGTACCTTTTATTTTACAAACACTCAACTTTTTCACTCATTCAACTCCATCTTTCTTCAAACAGGTGAGGTCCAATCTGGAGAAATCCAAACAAGCCCTGGAGAAGGAGTCGGCAAACCTGAGTTCAGAACTTCGATCATTGGCCAGTTCCAAACAGGACGTGGAGCACAAGAAGAAGAAGATGGAGGCTCAGCTGAACGACTTAAACTCCCGCTTCAACGAGGGCGAACGGCAGAGAAAAGAGCTCGAAGAGCGGGTCTCCAAGACGACTGTGAGTCAAAACATACTTCTGGAGCCACGGTCAGGGTCATTCTGACAGGTTCTTGAGTGCATGGATGGATGATGGATGGATGGATGGATGGATGGATGGATGGATGAACTAAAACTAAAACTGGAGAGATATGATCTCTATGATCTCTCCTAATAACTCCAGTTAAGACTCTGCCAGCAGCATTTTGGATCAACTGAAAACTTTTTAAAGAAGTATTTGGACACCCAGATAACAAACCATTGCAATAGTCCAGTCTAGACGTGAAAGTGCATGAACCAGTTTTTCTGCATAATTTTTAGATAAGATGTTTCTAATTTTAGTGATATTACGCAAGTGGAAGAAGGCGGTTCTAGTAATTTTTTTAATGTGGGGGATAAAAAACATGTCCTGATCAAAAATAACACCAAGACTTTAACATTAGAGCTGGAGGCCAGATTAATGCCATCTAAGGAGGGCGAAAGACTGGAAAATGTATTCCTAAGATGCTCAGGTCCAAAAACTAAAACCTCAGTCTTGTCTGTGTTCAAAAGAAGAAAATTTAGGGTCATCCAGGTTTTTATGTAGCTGATTGGATTCATTGGGTTCATGGACAAATATAACTGTGTATCATCAGCATAATGAAAATGTATCCCATGCTGTTTAATAACATTACCTAATGGAAGCATAAAGTAAAGCGTATTAGTCCAAACACTGAGCCCTGAGGAACTCCATGACTAACTTTGGTGTATGATGAATCAGAATCAGAATCAGTTTATTATCGCCATGTCAATGAACGAGGTTCACAAACTAGGAATTTGCTTCGACATAAGGTGCGAATAGTAGTAAGTAAAATAAAGTAAAAATTAAGTAAAAATGAGAACATTACACAAGACATAAGCCTGTGTACACCCACAAATAAAGTAAAATTAAAAACATAACATAATCATATGTACACCCATACAATAGAAAACAATAAAAAAGCTTCGAAAACAGTACAGATGGAGTATTCAGTTATAATACAGATGTAATGTGACCAAAGCAGACATTATGAGGTAGCATTATGAGTGTTCAGGAGTCCAACAGCAGAGGGGAAGAAACTGTTCTTATGGCGGGAGGTTCTGGTCCGAATGGACCGAAGCCTCCTGCCTGAGGGGAGTGGTTCAAACAGTCCGTGTGCAGGGTGAGCAGGGTTAGCTGTGATCCGACCTGCTCACCTCACAGTCCTGGAGACGTACAGGTCGTGGAGGGATGGAAGGCTGCAGCCGATCACCTTCTCAGCTGAGCGCACAACGCGCTGCAGTCTGAGTCTGTCCCTGGCAGTGGCCCCGGCGTACCACACCGTGATGGAGGAGCTGAGGATGGACTCGATGATGGCCGTGTAGAACTGCACCATCAGCTTGGCCGGCAGCTTGGCCTTCTTCAGCTGTCGCAGGAAGTACAGTCTCTGCTGGGCCTTCTTGATGAGGGAGCTGATGGTTGGCTCCCACTTGAGGTCCTGGGTGATGGTGGTGCCGAGGAACCGATAAGAATTTGCAGTGGTGATGGGGGTATCCTTACAGGTGAGGGGGGGCAGAGGGGCTGTGGCTTTCCTGAAGTCCACAATCATCTCCACTGTCTTCTGGGCATTGAGTTCCAGGTTGTTGCTGCTGCACCAGGTCACCAGCCGGTCCACCTCCCTCCTGTATGCAGACTCATCACCGTCCGAGATGAGCCCGATGAGGGTGGTGTCATCTGCAAACTTAATAAGTTTCACAGAGTCATGGCTGGAGGTGCAGCAGTTGGTGTACAGGGAGAAAAGCAGGGGGGAAAGCACACAGCCCTGTGGAGATCCTGTGCTTATAGTCCGAGTGTCCGAGACAGCTCTCCCCAGCCGCACGCACTGACTCCGATCTGTCAGGAAGTCTGTGATCCACCTGCAGGTGGAGTCAGGTACATGGAGCAGGGAGAGCTTGTCTTGGAGCAGAGCAGGGAGGATGGTGTTAAATGCGGAGCTGAAGTCCACGAACAGGATCCTGGCGTAGGTTCCTGGGGAGTCCAGGTGCTGCAGGATGAAGTGAAGAGCCATTGAAGCTAGTGAGCCAGTGAAGATTCATTATTTACATTTACAAATTGGAATCTATCAGATAAATATCACTTAAACCAATTTAGATCTGTTCCTGTAATTCCAACATCATATTCAAGTCTCTGTAATAGAATATTATGATCAACTGTATCAAATGCAGCACTGAGGTCTAACAGGACCAGTGTAGACACCTGTCCATTGTCAGAGGCCATGAGAATATCGTTAGTAACTTTCACCAGTGCAAATTCAGTGCTGGGGTGAGCTCTAAACCCTGACTGAAACTTTTCAAACAGATTATTTCTTTGCAGATGATCACGTAACTGACGAGCAACTATTTTTTCTAGAATTTTTGAGATGAAAGTTAGATTAGATATAAGTCTATAACTGGCTAGGATTCCTGAGTCAAGGTTATGTTTCTTAAGTAAAGGTTTAATTACTGCAGTCTTAAAGCTCTGTGGTACGTAACCATTCATTAGAGACAAATTAAGCAGATCGAAGACATAGTTATTAATTAAGGGAAATACCTCTTTAAACAGTCTGGTTGGGGTGGGATCTAGCAGACATGTAGATGGTTGGGATGAAATTATTATTTTTGACAACTCAGAGAGCTCAACGGGACAAAAACAGTTCAACATAAATCAGGTTCTAGTGACATTTTTAAAGTTGTCTCATCTGACACAGAACCAGAGGTGATACTGTGAATGTTGGTTTGAATTTTTTCCCTAATTGAAACAATTTTATTTATAAAGAATCTCATGAAGTCATCACTGCTTATAGTTGTAAGGACACATGAATCAACCGAGATAGGATTTTTCATTAGACTAGCTATGGTACTGAAAAGGAACCTGGGGTTAACAATAAAGTCTATGCTCAATAATCCAGGTATACAATCCAACATTTTTCAGATAGGTCATCTGGACAGTTTCTTTTTTTTGTGCTGAAACATTTCGCCTTCGATCCGGAAGGCTTCCTCAGTCAAGGAAACACACAGCAAAACTGATTCTTCCCCCAACAGCTTACTCCAAAGTGGAACAAACCAGTTTTGCTTGTGATAAGATGGTCTCTTTGGTACACCCCCTCCTCCATGGCCGGCCCTGGTAGTAGTAGTAGTAGTAATAGTACTAAAGTATCAAATGTTATTAAAGTAGTAGTAGTAATAATACTTAATTATTAAAGGTGATTAAAGTAGTAATAGTACTAAAGTATTAAAGGTTATTTAAGTAGTAGTAGTAATAGTACTAAAGTATTAAATGTTATTAAAGTAGTAATAGTACTTAAGTATTAAAGGTGATTAAAGTAGTAATAGTACTAAAGTATTAAAGGTGATTAAAGTAGTAATGGTACTTAAGTATTAAAGGTTATTAAAGAAGTAATGGTTCTAAAGTATTAAAGGCATTTAAAGTAGTAATAGTACTAAAGTATTAAAGTTGATTAAAGTAGTAATAGTACTAAAGTATTAAAGGTTATTAAAGTAGTAATTGTACTAAAGTATTAAAGGTGATTAAAGTAGTAATAGTACTAAAGTATTAAAGGTGATTAAAGTATTAATGGTACTTAAGTATTAAAGGTTATTAAAGTAGTAATGGTTCTAAAGTATTAAAGGTGATTAAAGTAGTAATAGTACTAAAGTATTAAAGGTGATTAAAGTAGTAATAGTACTAAAGTATTAAAGTTGATTAAAGTAAACTGCTGATGACAGAAAGATCCTAAAGATTAAACTTAAAACATCTGGATCTGTCGTCTTCTTCTCCAGATGGAGCTGGATAGTGTGACGAGTTTCCTGAACGAAGCTGAGGGAAACAACATCAAGCTGAGTAAAGATGTCTCCAGTCTGTCTTCTCAGCTTCAGGACACTCAGGTTGAAGGACATGTCTCAGTTTCATCATTTATACTCTGATATTCCTAAACCTTCTCACGATCCACTCATCTCCTCCTCCAGGAGCTGCTGTCTGAGGAAACCCACCAGAAGCTGAATCTGTCTGCACGTTTGAGGCAGATGGAGGAGGACAGGAACAGCCTGATGGAGCAGATGGAAGAGGAGACGGAGGCCAAACGGTCCATGGAGAGACAGGTGTCCAGCCTCAACATGCAGGTGTGTCCTGATGTCTGAAGACCTGGACATAGAGCTGACTTGTTTATTCAGATACTCAAAAACACTTTCTGCCTGTTGGTCTCTGAACTCAGAATGATTTAAACAAGAAGACAGACACTTTGATATCAGTCACGTTACTTAAAGCAGGCAAAACATGTCCTGTAAATATTTAAAAACAAACTTTACAGATGGGGAAATCTGAACCAGAACATTTTGAACTTCCAACTCAAGAATTCAGGAAGTCTAACATCCTCAGTTGTTCTTTTAGTTTTCCAGAATTAAAACTCTTCGAATGACAAGATTTGTCATCAATTCCTGTTTTTTATGTTGAAGGACCGATTGCTCAATCCAATTCAATCAATTCAGTTTATTTATATAGCTCTAAGTCACAACAGAAGTCATCTCAGGGAAATAAACAGAAACATTCATATATAAAAATAATAATTTAACATTATTTGTCTGAGGAGCAGACTGCTTTGAGTTTAACTTCATCACAGAACTCTCATCTTGAACAAGCATGAAGGCGACAGTGGAAAGGAAAAACTCCCTCATGAGAAAGAAACCTTTAGCAGAACCAGGCTCAGGACAAGCGGCCATCTGCTTCAACTGGGTGGATTTGGTAGGAACAGATACACAATGGCAGATCAAGAATCACGTTAAGATAGAAATAGTATCAAATGGAAACTATTCAATTTTAACAATTCATTTAAGGAAATGAGGTCAATTTGTCCTCTAGTAGTCTAAGCCTATAGTAGCATAACAAGCCAACCCTAACTATAGGATTTATCAAAAAGGAAAATCTTAAGCCCAGTCTTAAAACTGGACAATGTGTCAGCCTAACGGACAGAAACTGGAAGTTGTTTCCACAAGAGAGGAGCCTGATAACTGAAAGATCTTTCTCCCATTCTGCTTTTGGAAACTCTATGGACCACGTGTAAGCCTGCAGTCTGAGAGCAAAGTGCTCTGTTAGGAAAATATAGAACAATAAGATCTGTAATATAAGATGGAGCTAGGTTGTTGAGAGCTTTGTAGGTTAGAAGTTTTGTTATTATTTTTCATTTTAATCACTTGTATTATCTGGTTGTATGATTGTTTTATGATGTGTACAACTTTTATTATGTGACTTTTAATCATTTTAATAATTTTTATTATCTAACTGTATGATTCTTTTGTTGTGTGTACAGCACTTTGGTCATGTGGGTGTTTAAAGTGCTTTATAAATAAAGCTGGTATGGTATGGTATGGTATGGTATGGTATGGTATGGTATGGTATGGTATGGTATGGTATGGTATGGTATGGTATGGTATGGTATGGTATGGTAAGAGTTTGAATTCAATTCTGGACTTGACAGGGAGCCAGCGGAGAGAAGCTAAAACTGGAGAGATATGATCTCTCCTACTAACTCCAGTTAAGACTCTGGCAGCAGCATTTTGGATTAACTGAATATGTTTTTAAAAAGTATTTGGACACCCAGATAATAAACCATTGCAATAGTCCAGTCTAGATGTGACAAATGCACAAATCAGTTTTTCTGCATCATTTTTAGGTAAGGCGTTTCGAATTTTAGTGATATGACGCAAGTGGAAGAAGGTTCTAGTAACGTTTTTAATGTGGGGGATAAAAGACATGTCATCAGCATAACAATGAAAATATATCCCATGCTGTTTAATAACATTACCTAATGAAAGCATATACAAAGTAAAGAGTATTGGTCCAAGCACTGAGCCCTGAGGAACTCCATGACTAACTTTGGTGTATGATAAAGATTCATTATTTACATTTACAAATTGCAATATATCAGATAAATATGATTTAAACCAATTTAGAGCCGTTCCTGTAATTCCAACATCATATTCAAGTCTCTGTAATAGAATATTATGACCAGCTGTATCAAATGCAGCACTGAGGTCTAACGAGACCAGTGTAGACACCTGTCCATTGTCAGAGGCCATGAGAATATCATTAGTAACTTTCACCAGTGCAGATTCAGTGTTGTGGTGAGCTCTAAACCCTGAATGAAACTCTTCAAACACATTATTTGTTTGCAGATGATCATGTAACTGACCAGCAACTGTTTTCTCTAGAATTATTGAGATGAAAGTTAGATTAGATATAGGTCTATACTTTGCTAGGATTCCTGAGTCAAGGTTATCTTTCTTAAGTAAATATTTAATTACAGCAATCTAAAAGCTCTGTGGTACATAACCATTTATTAAAGACAAATTAAGCAGTTATTAATTAAGGGAAATATGTCTTTAAATAGTCTGGTTGTGAAGTGATCTAGCAGACATGTGGATGGTTTGGATGAAGCTATTATTTTTGAGAATTTAGAGAGCTCAACATGACAAAAACAGTCCAAATATAAATCAGGTAGTGACATTTTTAAAGTTGTCTCATCAGACACAGAACTAGAGGTGATACTATGAATGTTGGTTTGAATTTTTTTCCGTAATTGAAACAATTTTATTTATAAAGAATCTCATGAAGTCATCACTGCTTATAGTTGTAGGGATACATGAATCAACAGAGATAGGATTTTTCATTAGACTACCTTTGGTACTGAAAAGGAACCTGGGGTTATTTTTATTCTCATCAATTAAAGATGAATAATATAAAGTTCTAGCTTTACGGAGTGTTTTTTTGTACGTTATCAGGCTATATCTCCAGGATAAGTAAGATTCCTCAATGTTAGTAGAGCACCATTTTCTTTCTTGTTTTCTAGTTGTCTGTTTTAAAGTATGTAACTCAGAATTGTACCAAGGAGCTCATCTCCTCTGATTGATTAATTTCATTTTCAGTGGAGCAGCTTTATCGAGTGAAGTTTGCAAAGAGGTTGTAAAATTATCAACTAGATGATCTAAGTCACTGCTCTCTGATGTATTATTCTGCAAGACGGAGGACAATGATGGAAGAAAATCTTTAAATTTGGTTACAGTGTTTTCTGATAAGCACCTGGTAATATTAAATTTACTCTGTGACTGTGTAGTAATTTAATGTAAACTCAAATGTAATTAAAAATGGTCATACACAACAGAATTTTGAGGAAATATTACTAAGTTATTAATCACAATGCCATAGGTTAGAACTAGGTCATGGGTGTGATGATGAGAATGAGTAGGTGCTTGGACATTTTGGGTAAAACCAATTGACTCTGTTAAGTTTTTAAAAGCTATGCTTGAGCTATCACTTTCAACATCTACGTGAATATTGAAATCACCCATTATTATGACTTTATCAGTATTTAGTAGTAAGTTAGTTAAGAATTCTGAGAATTCAGACAAAAACTAAGCATAGGAGCCTGGTGGACGATATATAACAACTAGTGAAAGTGGCCATTCTGTTTTCCATTTAGGATGGGATAGACTTAGAGACAGTGACTCAAAAGTATTATAACTACTAATTGGTTTAGCATTAATTAATAGTCCTGGCTGATAAATAGAAGCTACACCTCCGCCTCAACCAGTTGTTCTAGGAACATGAAAATTTAAATAATTAGGTGGAGTGGATTCATTTAGGCAGCACGATGGTGCAACTGGTAGAGCTGCTGCCTCTCAGTGAGCAGGTCCCCAGTTCAAATCCTGGTCCAGTGGCCTTTCTGGGTGGAGTTTGCATGTTCTCTCCGTGCATGCGTGGGTTTTCTCCGGGTACTTTGGTTTCCTCCCACAGACCAATAACATGCATGTTAGACTGATTGGTAACTCTCAATTGTCCCTAGGTGTGAGTGAGAGAGTGAATGGTTGTTTGTCTCGTTTGTCTTTATGTGGCCCTGTGATGGACTTGCGACCTGTCCAGGGTGTACCCTGCCCCTCGCACAGTGATTGTTGGACATGGGCACCAGCGACCCCCGTGAACCAAAATGGAAGAAGCGGGTAAAAGATAATGGATGGATGGATGGATAGATGGTTAATATTTTTTACAGCTGATTTTTAGTTTATTTGATTGGAGCTGTGGGTGAGTTGGGACTATTTCAATGGGGTTTTGGGTGGGTAATGAAAAAGCAGCAGAGAAGTGTGGAGGACTACATCCCTGCTTCCTGGACTGATTTCTAGACTGGACCGTTAATTGTCAACAATCTGGATGTCCAACTGAATCAGCTAAGTTTTTAGAGAGAAGTGCTGCTCCACATCAGGTGGGATGGATTCCATCTCTCTGCATAAGACTGGGTTTTATCTAAAATACACTCCAGTTGTCTACAAATCCTACGTTGTTTTCAGAGCACCACCTGGACACCCAGCGGTTGAAAGCCAACATACGTCTAAACATGTCATCGATGGACAGGTTGGGGAGGGGGCCGGAGAAAACTACGGAGTCTGACATTGACCTTCAACATAAAAAACATGAGTTGTGCTTTAGCACAGATTAATCTGTATCTAGGAGGAAAAGTAAGAATGCCAGCTACTGAAGTTAATCTCATATCCTGAGACAGGAAATGGTTCTGACAGGTTTCTGTGAGAACTTGTCTCAAAGGGACTTTTTGCTTTAGGGCTCAATGAAATTTGGTTTAGTTTTTCTGAACAAACTGCGAGTGTCATTGAAGAAAACTGAGTAATCACATAAGGCATTCTCCCAGGATCTGTGCTCGTTCCTGTTTTATCAATGAATTAAAACAGGAACTGAATCCAAACAGAATCCATTTATATGCTGTTGATGCTCTGGTTTACATGCTAGCATCTGTTTCTGAATCCATCTTCTGCAGGAAGCTGCACCTCTCGTTCTTCACCTCTTTAAGATTAAAGTGAGACTAAATTAATATGTGAACAGAGTTTATTGAGTCAGTGTGTGCTTGAGACAAGATCTTTGATGGTTTTGCTCTCACTGTGCTGCTATTGCACCTGTTTCCAGCTATCTGACCACAAGAAGAAGCTGGATGAGCTGTCAGCGACAGTAGAGCAGCTGGAGGAAGGGAAGAGGCGCCTGCAGCGTGAGCTGGAGGCGGCTGTCGGCGAGTACGAGGAAAAGGCTTCAGCCTACGATAAGCTGGAGAAGAGTCGTGGGCGTCTTCAGCAGGAGCTGGAGGACGTCCTGATGGACCTTGACGCCCAGAGACAGCTGGTGTCCAACCTGGAGAAGAAGCAAAAGAAGTTTGACCGGGTGATTACACGTCGGCTTTAGAAGAAATGTTTTGTTTGTTGGTGAAATCAGTGTAGGGATGGATGAAAAGATAGTCACTCAGTCAGTCGGTTATAGTTAGTAAGTTATAGTCATTCAGTCAGTTATAGTCAGTCATTTATAGCTAGTGAGTCAGTTATAGTCAGTCAGTCAGTTATAGTCAGTGAGTCAGTTATAGTTAGTGAGTCAGTTATAGTCAGTCAGTTATAGCAAGTCAGTCAGTTATAGTTATTGAGTCAGTTATAGTCAGTCAGTTATAGTCAGTGAGTCGGTTATAGTCACAGTGAGTCAGTTATAGTCCGCCAATCATAGTCAGTCAGTCAGTTATAGTTAGTGAGTCAGTTATAGTCAGTCAGTCGGTTATAGCATCAGTCATAGTTAGTGAGTCAGTTATAGTCAGTCATTCAATTACAGTTAGTGAGTCAATTATAGTCAGTCAGTTATAGTAAGTCAGTTAGTTATAGTTAGTGAGTCAGTTATAGTTAGTCAGTCAGTTATAGTTAGTGAGTCAGTTATAGTCAGTCAGTCATAGTCAGACAGTTATAGTTAGTGAATCAGTTAAAGTCAGTCAGTCAGTTATAGCAAGTCAGTCAGTTATAGTTAGTGAGTCAGTTATAGTCAGTCAGTCAATTATAGTTAGTGAGTCAGTTATAGTCAGTCAGTTATAGTCATTCAGTCAGTTATAGTCAGTCATTTACAGTCAGTCAGTTATAGTCAGTCAGTCAGTTATAGTCAGTCAGTTATAGTTAGTCAGTCAGTCTGTTATAGTGAGTCACTAAGTTGTTTCTACAGATTAAAATCATGAATCTTGTGGGCTTGTAATGTTTTTGGCTGAGCTGCGTTACATATGAACATTAAATCACCGGTCTTTTAATCTGTGGTTCGATTTCTCAGTCAGTCAGCTGGTGGCTTAGGGATGTTTTTCTGTCCAGTTAAAGGCATGTTCCGACAGCTTCAGGTCCCACCATCAGGCCAGATGCTGAGTCAACAACGATGAAGTGCAGCAGGAGAGAAACCTGGTTCTGGAGGGAATGTTGATGCTGCTGTGATTGCTTCTTATCTCGTGTTGTTCAGATGGTGGCAGAGGAGCGAGCCGTGTCATCGAAGTTCGCAGAGGAGCGAGATCGAGCAGAGGCTGAGGTGAGGGAGAAGGAGACCAGGATTTTAGCTCTGACCAGAGCTCTGGAGGAGAAACACGAGGTCCTGGAGGAAGCAGAGAAGACCATGAAGGCCCTCCGAGCTGAGATAGAGGATCTCGTCAGCTCCAAGGACGACGTGGGGAAGGACGTAAGGATCCAAGCGCTGAGGGAAAGATTCTCTCTGCCCGGTGTCTGGAGACAGAAGGAGCTGATGTCTGATCATCTGTTCAGGTTCATGACCTGGAGAAGGTGAAGCGAGGCCTGGAGGCCATCGTGGAGGAGATGAGGATGCAGATGGAGGAGCTGGAGGACGAGCTGCAGGTGGTGGAGGACACCAAGTTGCGTCTGGAGGTCAACAGTCAGGCTGTGAAGGCTCAGCATGAGCGGGAGCTGCAGGCCCGTGAGGAGATGGGCAAGGAGAAGAGGAAGCAGCTCCTCAGACAGGTGGAGCTCTGCTGCTGCTCCCACGGAGCTTCTTCGGCTCTGACTTTACAATTCACTTGTATTAACACATGAACACCGTCTTACCTTTTCCACTTCAGGTGCGTGAGCTAGAGGCGGAGCTTGAGGAGGAGAGGAAGCAGCGAGCTCAGGTGTCTGCCGCCAAGAAGAAGCTGGAGGGAGAGTTGAAAGACACGGAGGAGCAGCTGGAGGCCACCAGCAGGGGGCGAGAGGAGGTGCTGAAGCAGCTCCGCAAAGTCCAGGTCTGTACACACACACAAACAGACACACACTGAAACACACAGACAAACACACACACACTGAAACACACACACAGCATTAGTTTGTTACCAGGTAACGAGGATGAAGACGTCTGATTGGTCTGTCTGAAGTCTCACCTGCTGATGTTTGCTGACCTCCTCCCAGGTGCAGGTGAAGGAGCTCCAGAGGGAGCTGGAAGACTCCCGTTCAGCTCAGAAGGAGGTGGTTTCTGCAGCCAGGGAGTCAGAGCGCAAATCCAAGATGATGGAGGCAGAGATGGTCCAGCTGCACGAGGTCAGAGGTCCACCGGGTCAGAAGCATCATTGTTCACATCAGGCGTTGGTCTCTAAGAGGGGGTGTGGTTTGAAGTGAAGACAGGTTTTTGTCTAACATTAGTCTCCTGCACACGTCTTCTTCTGTCCAAGATGGAGGCGTTCTTTCCACAGAGGAGCTCTACAGCAGCTGACAGGAGGAAGAATAACCGCTGTGGAAGTTCTGACTCTTGGTTCTGTTTCTTCCTGATGTCCTCCAGATGTTGGCAGCTGCCGATCGAGCTCGGAAACAGGCGGAGACGGAGAGAGACGAGCTGTCGGAGGAGCTGAGCACCAACTCCTCTGGGAGGTGCGTTGCTGCATGTGTCTGTCAGGAGGAGGTAAGGGGAGCTCATGTTTGTTTCTGTGGATCTGCAGGTCTATGATGTTCGACGACAAACGGCATCTAGAGGCGAAGATCAGTCAGCTGGAGGAGGAGCTGGAGGAGGAACAGGTGGCCCTGGAGAACCTGAATGAGCGTCTGAGGAAGAGCCAGCAGCTGGTACATTCAGGACTTTACTTTGTGACGCAGAGCTGAATGATTTATTGATCCGATGATCCAAAAATACAAATATTGGTTGATCATGTAACCTCTGACAGAACAAAAGGACAAGAACCAAGCTACAGCTTTCTGACAGAATAAAAGAACAAGAACCAAACTACAGTTTTCTGAGAGAACAAAAGAACAAGAACCAAACTACAGCTTCCT